AAAACCAACAAAACCCCTACTGATTTAATCTAGATAAGACTATCCTATTGACACCTTCAGAAATAGAAGCTACTAATTTTAAAATCTGCTGACGCTGTGTGGGGAGATAAGTGGCCCATGCAGTCAGCTACACGCAGTTACAGGCATGTTAAAATGCTTAGTATTGTGGCAGTTTCTTATGATAAACAGAATTTGCGTCCCTGCTTAGATGAAATCCCCCGGGTTATTCTGGACACATCATGGCTCTTGTTTTTGTATTGAGTTTAATACACAAAGAAACTGTTAGAACTATCAGCGCCTTGTTTTGTTTAACAGGAGCTAAAATCCTGCAGCGGCTATCAAAAATACAAAATAATGTGAAGAGACTTCAGCAACAATTAAAAGATGTGAAGCTTACACCAGAATGTAAGTTGTCGTGACAGATTTGAAAACATTTTCCTCTGTAGACAGGTTTCTTGCATAGTTGGGCTTGGAATTGTCCTGCGGACTTGGGATACTCTTTCTCCGGTCTGCTTTTTCAGGAATCTGGGAAGGGATGAATGCAGAAGCATGAGAAATGGTGAAAGATCGTGCAGTTCTGTGTGGAAACAGAGAAACTTACCCTGTCTTAGAAGTGGTGTGGGTTTGTTTCTTCAGGCTGCTGAAAGCCAAGTATTTTCTATATGTGACTCTTTGCCTTATGCAAAATGAAATTAGTATTCTAGTGCTGTTTAGATACAGCTCCCTTTCATCTGGTAAGAGGTCAGAGTAGGGTCTACAGGGAACTCATTTCTAGCTGTCCACATGGCTTGAATTGTAAGTTGGAATATTCTGTGGAAAATGCCGAAACAACTCATTCGGTTTGGGTATTTTGAAAATTTTTGGAAATAGGCACTGAAAGAACTGTTCTCCTATGATACTCTAATACCATGTGTGGAGCTCAGGTTGAAGCCCTCATATTAGCTGAGGGCTTTCTGACGCTAGCTAAAATGCATCTCATTTTATTATTCAGTGTCTATCCTACAAAAAATGCGTTCTCTTCTTAAGCTGTCAGCAAAGATACCAAGAACTAACAAGGCAGGAAAGCTGAACTAGGAGTTTTAGGTGATATAAACTAAATTGGTACAGTTATTATTTTCTAAAGCCAGGTTAGTTAAACTGTGTGTTCAATATGTGTCCATAGAGATGTTGTGCAGGTTTAAAACAGATTCTAAAACTTTCTTCTACCATTGCAAAATAGATCTTCTCTGGACAGCTGTCTTGCTGTCTTTCTCCAGATCAGGACTACAGTATGCTGGCAGTATAGGATAAAGTCTTACTTTGATGTTTCTTGTCAGTTTTGTAAAAGTAGTAACCTATAGGTTAAATAGGATTGCTACAGCCTGGTATAAACCAAAGATTTGAGTGGGCTGCTTAAGTGACTAACTGCATCATTATAAAAAACAGCAGTGGAAACTTTAGGATAAGACTGTCTTACTCTATGGGTCTGTTGAAGGCTATAATGGAGGTGAACATTTACACTGGGATTTGCATCCTGTTAGCTAAATCACTGTGAAATCACGCCTTTTGAATAAATGAGAGTCTTGTCTTTTAAGGCTGTTTGAGATGGAAGTGCATGCTTTTTTGTACAGTCAAAGTGTCCCAGAAGTCTCTGTAAGTGCCTACATTTCTGGATAGTGCTGAATTACTGGTAAATACTGTAGACTATTTAAGTGATATGCTCTTTTATTCTTTTCCTTTTTAGTTGTTGACAAACTCAAGGAAATTATGGAAGAAGTTGAAAATACAATCAATTCTTTTAAAGAGGAACAGAGGCAAATGTATGTTTATACATGCTTAAGCTACAAGAAAAAGTGCTTTCATAAGACACAACGAAAATTTTGCATTAATCAAGTAAACTATTCTTTTGATTTACTCTTGCTAGTGATTCCTGTGGTATGTAAATCAAAACTCAGGCTATCAACGTTAGAATCTTGATAAACGGCTGTTTGGAGAGGCTGTTTATGTAGCTATTGCAGTGATCCAATGTAACAATGATTTGCCTCTGAAAAGGCTTTTCAGAGAAAGGCTGCAGAAGAGATTAGATTGTGGGGTTTCTGTTGTTTTGTTTTGTAAGTGGGTGGGGTTTTTTTCCCCCTTTCTCTCTGCCGGTGTCAGAAGGGAATTGAGTTAGTTGTTTTGAGTGCCATAAATGTGTGCTTTCACTAAGAGTAACTTAATTCTGATTGTGTAGTGCTTTATTGTGGGATCATTAAAACTGTGCTGTCATCTGTGTTACCGTTTCAGTTCTTAATCTTGGAAGAATAGCTTTTGTGTGGCATTGAACAATTCCAAAATTAATTTTTGGTGAATGAACAATGAATCCTGGATTTTTTTTTTCTTACACTTCAGTGTTTGTTCTCTTTTCAGATATGAACAGCTTTTGAAGGAGGAAAAAACTGCCATTAATGAGCTCAGTGTCTTTGAGAGAAAAGTGGAACTGTGGGCGTTAGGCAGCTCAACAACAGAAAAAGTTTTGAAATTACCATCAGCCAGGGTCTCAGTTGATAAAACACTGGAAAGTCACCTACCTGAAGAAGTAGTAGAATTTGAAAGATTTTTTCAGCGAACAGGAGGGCGGCAAGGAGGCTGGGATGATTATGATCATCAAAATTTTCTGAAAGTATGGACAAAACATAAAGGAAGACCATCTTACATGGGTGAAGCCCTTGAGTGTCTCTGTGGAAGAACAAAAGAAGATATTGAACAGCATGACAAATGGTATCAAGAATTTTTAATTTTACAGGAAAGAAAGAAAGAGGTAAAATAACTCCTCTAAGGCTTTCGTAGCTTTAAGAAAAAGTACTTACTTTTACAATGCATGCATTTCTTACTTTTGTATTTGCCTCCCTGGCGGTGGTGCTAGGTGGGTTTCTGTTAAAGTTGATGGCATGTAACTGAAGTCTTTAGTATCCTCCCCTTGCCAAAAATACTTGTTAGGTCTATGCTTACTGGTAGTTCTTTAAGACAACACAATGAAGAGGCCTGTGCGTTGCCAAAGTGTATTAGAAATGCTTTTGGTGGCAGTGGTCCAGCAAGTTAGATGCAAATCCTGGAGCAGTAAGCAATCCCATCTGAAATTGCAGTTCTTACTACATCTGTCCCTAAAAATATCTGTCTTACTGTATAGCTAATATGCCTCTGCCATCCTGATATAGAGAATTATGGTTCCTTCAAGAGCTATCCATCTGAGTAATAAAAGATACACTGACATAAAAACTGAACTATAAAATAATAGTTGGAATTGTTAATTTGAAGAAAAAAATTAAGACCTGAAAAATGTTTGCATTAAGAAAGCATATTACACCAATGTTCATAACTACTCCACGGTAATATGAATGCCATAACTGAACTCATTTTAGCAGGTACATATTAAACCTGCCTGTTGAAGCCGTGAAAAGCCGAAACCAGAACTCAGTAGTCTTGGCGACTATTAAGCAGTTTTTATTGTGGCGCCGGACGCACAGGGGATCGCTCCTCCTAATGTGCACACCACACAGAGTTAATTGCATAGCTTATGTACTAATTTTACATACATATTCATTACATTCCTCAGAAAAGGCAGGCATAGGTAAATTAATTCCTGGAAATCATTTACATATTCTCCTCCCAGTGGCACACACTCAGTGATTTGAGTTGGTGGTCTTCAGGGGTCATTTACTTCACCCACTCCTCTTCTTCACCTTGTCCTTTTGGTGAATTTTGGCTTTTACCCCCCTTATTCTGCTGCCAGAACAACACAGCCGGTACCTGCCAGCTTCCCATCCCTGAAACATTCCCCTTTACCTCCGTATCTCATGGTTCCCATCCCTGGCTATCCTCATATCGACAAACGTTTTGTCCCCTACATGCCTTCCAAGGCTGGCAACAAAGATAGGCAATTTACTACAAATATCTTTTTTTTTTTTTCTCTAATGATACACATTGCAAACACTGTTAGTTTCTTATCTACAGTTTCTTACCTCATATGGTTAGTAAGTTAACCTAAAACACAATGTTAGTACTTTAAGCTGGATCCTCCTCAAGGATGTTCTGTTTTTTCAGGGCTGTTACCACATTCCAGCTACAGTTGGCTTCACAAAGGTCTCTTGTTAACCCTTTAGCAGCCCTTCACTGCGTGATCCACAAAAGAGAAAAAAAAATGTGAGGAAGCAGACATAAGTGCTTTTTTGCCTTAAGTTTTGCCTTTAGTAGACTTCTAATTCCTATCTGCAGTTTGTATCCTTGCAGTCCATGTTTTCGTCAGAGTGAATCGAAGTATGTGTAAAATTTTCATGAAAACCTTATTTTTTTTCCTGCTGTTCTCTTTCAGTCAATTAAGAAGTGGAAAGAAAAGCAGCAGCAAGAAAAAGAAGGGAACTTAAAGGAGAAAGAGAAGTCAGAAAAAATGCTCAAGAAAAAACTGCTACAATGTGAAGAAGCTCAGAAGCAAAAAGCAGAAGAAGAAAGAAAAAGAAAACAAGCTGCAATTGAAGCATGGAAGAGACAGAAGGCAATAGCATTTGCAATGGAACAAGCATCACAGCTAAAACTAGAAGAAGAAGAGAAGAAGAAGAAGCAACAAAAAGAACGCCAGCGCCAATGCCACATGAAGTTACTGTTGGAAAGGTATAGCTTGCAGAAGAAAGAAAAAGAGGAGCTTGAAAAGCTTGAAAAGGAGAAGAGAGTGGAATCTGAAAAGGAGAAGAGAGAGGAAGCTGAAAAGGAGAAAAGGAAGAGAATTGCTGCAGAAGAAATTACTAAGTTTCAAGAACGTGTGCGTAATCACATCTCCGTTTATGCATGTTGTTTTAAATTCACTTACTTCCTCCTGTAATATAATCTGTTAAACACTTAAAAAACCCCTGTAATACCCAAGTTCCCTTCATTTAAGTCTTATTATTGATTTACTGTGAATAACAGCATCTGTTACATCTAAGGAACAGTATGAAACTTTACTCTAGACAACGATTTTGCTTTTCCTCAATATCTAAGTTCTGCAGGATTATTCAAGCCCATATTCATTTCTGCATATACAAGTGGTTTTATTTACTTCAATGTGCAAATGTTTGGGGAAGACAGCTTAGGCTGTGTTGCTCTCCATGCTGTAGAAAACGTCAAAAGACCTGATTGTTGCATGCAGGTATGAAATAAAAAGAGATGTTGAAAATCCTGCAGTTTCAGTAGCTGCAGAGTCAAGTTAGATCCCATCTCAGTGTAAATCTGATTACTGGAGAACTGATATTATTGAGGGCATTCGCACTAGAGTTCCTTTTTGTAAATGGAACCTAAAGTACTGCAATCCATTTTTTTTCAGTACAGTGTAACTATAATTTGCGCAGGACAAGCTGCAGCAAGTAGCTATGTAGTGTAACTTCATTCTGTACTATGACAAGACAGTTTCAAACAAAAAAAACCTAACTGTGAAAAGGCTGCATATATATTTTGATACGATTTGCTTTACTTCCAAAGAAAAGTTTGCTTTTCTGTTTGTTATGTGTTTCAGGATCTACGTAAACTGGAGCTAAGGATTCTACAAAAACAAGCTAAAGAAGTAGAGAAACAAGAAAGAGAAAAAAGGTTGGCAGAGTTAAGAGAGAAGGTAACTTACCTTTTTTCTTTTTTTTTGTAATCTGGGGTGTGTGCAGTTTGGTTGTTTAAACAACCTTTTCCTCATTGCTCTAAAAAGCAATTATTTTTACTTATTTAAACGGTTGATAAAGGGGAAAAAATTAAAGTCACGATCATTATCAGGCGACAATGCAGCAGGCATAGTTGTTCTGGTGTTTAAAAAAAAAAAGGTGGCAATAGAGAATTTACTTATCTCGAAGCAATACTTTATTCTGGGTGAACCCTATAGCTCATATAAATGAGCTGCGATATGGGCGGGGGTTGGGGTTTTTTGTTTTGGGGTTGGTTTGTTTTTTTTTTTTAAATGTTTTCTTCCATTGGTTAACTAAGTAGGCTGGCTTCCAGAAGAGTTTTGGGAACATTGCCTGGGTTCTTAGGAGTTTAACCTTTTAAATCACTACAATTTAATGACAGCAAGCAGTTGTTGCCCCTTACTGATGTAATGTTTCTGCCACTTTCCTGTGATACCACAGAGGGAAAGGTCTCTTTCTGCCTAGCCAGCTGTGTTTTGTTTACTCTGCACCTGTGCGTGGGATGAAAACCCAGCCGGCGTGTATGTAACTCATCCTGCAATCTATGGAAAAGACCAGTTTTTTTGCTTCTTTGTTTCACTCTGAGGTCAAGATTCGTGTCACCAGAGACGGGTCCAGGTTGTACAGACCTACCAAGGCCTGGGAGGAACGCTCGAAAGAGGTCGCTCCAACAGCTTCAGAGCTGCTTTTACATATTCCCCACAGGTAAGGCGAAGAAGGATGGGCGCGTGGCGTGACAAAAACACAGTTGTCAATGAGCTCTTTCTGCCTTGTTTTCAGAGCTGTCCCAGCCTGGAGGCAAGGGTTGTAGCGGAGCGCCGGCCTCTCCCTGTCGCAGGGTGATGACCTCCGTGCCTGCGAAGCGGCCAGCCGTCCTGGGC